CCCTGGCCAACTCCAACATCCGGGCTGGGAGTCTGAAATCCTAGTTCTCTTTGCCCATTCACTTCCACTAGATTTGCTTCTAAACTCCCTGTGCCTCAGCTAGTCTGCCCACCAGAATCAGCAACGGGCATTTTCCAGGGCTGTAGTGAGGGCCCTGGAACTCACTCTCTCTCTCTCTCTGAGCCTCTGTTTCCCCATCAGTAATGGGAGCTAGAAGACCCCCTGCCAGGTGGGCCAGTCCATGACATCTACAGAGAGAGCAGGAACCTCTCCTATTTCCTGGAGGAGAGCTGGGGTGGAGGCTGCAACCCAGGATCATCAGAGCAGCTGCGGTCTTCAAGGCTCCTACGGACCCCTTAAGCGGGGGTCAGAGTGACTTCAGGGGTCTTATTGCTCGGTCCCGACAGAAGATGTTTCCAGTTGTGAAAAATGACTTCAGGGACAACAAGGACAGAGATTCCCCTCTCTGGACACCAGTGGTTGATGTGCCTGGAGTACTCCTCGTACCAGGCAGGGGAGAGAGTCCTCGAGAGAGGAAGTTTTAAGTGTCACCTAGATTTGGGGTCTCGGGGCCTGTATCAGGGGTAGGTGATGTCACAGTGAGTTGATGCTCTACAGCCCCTTCCCTAGGAAGTGGCAGAGGGAAGAGCTGGGGGTCATCTGAGGTGTGAGTGAGTCCAACCCTGAGGGTCTTCCCAAGCTGCAGGTGCCTGGGTGTAGAGGGAAGAGGTTCTGGTTAGACAGGTCTGGTGTTGAATCCTGGTCCATTTATTCATTTGGTCAAGAAATACTCATGGAGGGCCCACTATGTGCCAGGTGCCACGTCAGGTGACTGTGGACACAGTGTTGAGTGGGACAGTTGGCCCCTTCACGGCTGGAGGTATGATATTCTCAAGCCGGGACTTAGGGCTCTACGATTGTATGTCAGATATACAGCCTCTATATGCATGTCTCCAGAGACTGGTTTCCTGGAGTTCCAAGTGACAGCCATCATTCATTCGCCTTGAATGCAAAAGTTAAAAGAGCATCCAAAAACGTAGTGACCCAGATCAATAATACTTAATGCAATATTTTCAAAAATCAAAATTAATGCCCAAAAAACCCACAATGCACAAAATTTCAGGATCTGACTCACTCGTCTCAGTGGTTTCCCTCTTGGTCCTACCCACAGTCCCACAGGTGAGTGAGTGACCACGAGAATGCAAACCCAGAGTCAGGCTCCTGCACCCCCTTTTGCCCGGCCACCAGAGCCCTCCCCTGGGTCTCCACCTTCCTCTTCTGAAGAGCTCCAGTTGGTTAGTGCTCAGGCTTCTACTCCTGGTCTCTTCTGCCCCCTACTGGACTCTCCCCTTCTAGCTGCACTCCAGGCAGCTGGTGGAGGTTAAAGAACAGAAACCTCCCAAAACTCCACCCTCCAGTTCCAGGCTGGCTCCACCCCATGTCCAAAAACTCTGGTCCTCCCAGGTCTCTAATCGCTATTAGTAAGTCCCGGGGTGCAGGCTTTACACCAAGTCGCTGTGTGCCTCAGGCAAGAAACTCTCCCTCTCTGAGCCTCTGTTTCCACATCAGCAGAAGGAGCTAGAAGGCCTCCCTGCCAGGTTGACAAGTCTACTCTGTGACATCTACAAAGGGAGCAGGGATCTCTCCCATTTCCTGGAGGAGAGCTGGGGTGGAGGCTGCAACCCAGGATCACCAGAGGAGCTGAGGTCTTTGGGGTTCCTGAGGACTCCTCAGAGGGGGATCAGGAGCTGCAGAGCCAGCTTCTACCTCTAGGGACTCAGAGATCCAGAACCTTTGTCACTTCCTCAGCCAATACTTGTCATCCTGTGCCTCAGACTCTCCCAGATCCCAACAGTGAGAAGCTCAAGATGAGACAAGAAAGACCAGCCAGCTTGAATTTGGGGATGATGGGGAGTGGGGAGCTGGGGATCCCTGGACCTGGGAGAGAAGAGTCTGCAGTGCTTGCAGGTAGAGTTTCTGGGACGTGGGGGCTGCAGACTGGGCAGGGGACTGACCAGCAGGAGGCCAAGGTGGGGGACACCCTCAGACATGGAACAGAGTAGAAGCAACTGGATGGGGTACACCCCTCTGCTTTGAGAGAGAAGGGCCAGGGCGGGACCCAGAGGGCTCTGCAGAGGCACCACAGACCCTCAGCAGGGGGGTCCACCAAGCAGGACAGCTGGACTTGACCTCCTCTGCCCAGGCCTGGATCCAGCCCTTCCACATCTCAGTCCAGGAGGGCAGGGGGCAGGCCTGGGTGGCCAGAGCTGCAGCTGCACCTGCTGGGGAGGCCTAGTCCAGTCCTCTAGGGTCCCCAGCCAGACTCGGATTTCCGACTACAACCACCATAGGAGGATGTGGTCTGCAGTGGCGACGTCTGCCCAGAGGCCACAGCAGGTGCAGGGGTGGGGGTAAGGGCAGCAGCTGGGGATGCTACATTTAGGGACAGCCCCTCTTTATCCCCAAGACCTGGGACTTTCCCTGGAAGGAGCCACAGCTTCTGGGTCCTGAGCAGTGGGTAAGTGTCATACCCACAGAGGGCCTGGGAGGGAGCAGCTTCAGCCTAGACCCTCAGGGTAGACCCTTCCCCAGCCCCCATAACACAAAGAGCCCAAGAACAGAGGCAGGAACAGGCCAAGCTCCCTGGTGGAGAAGAAGGTGTGCTGGACCAGGGGTTTCCTAGGGCCCTTCCTTGTGCCCTGAATGATGTCTGTTAGGGCACCTACACAACGTTACAGATCAGTGCCTTGCCTATCTCCAAGGACAGGGATGTGTGGTGATTATTTGTATAATCCAGCCCCCAGCGCCTGGGCCTCAAAAGTTGCCCAAGCAATACATATAAAGATCCAGCCTGGAGATCTTTGAAAACTGATTCGATGAGTCGAACCATTAAGTCATGATCACCATCCTCAACTTCATCTCTTTCTTCCTCCTCCTCCTCATTATCATCACCTTCAAGAACTGTGAAGGGTCTGAGACTTCATCCTATTTGCAGACTAAAATGTAAGCCTGCCACAGTGTCATGGATGCTGGCAGAAGATACAAGATTCCTGGGTTAGAAACAATGGACAGTCTGTCTTTCACAGCAAGAGCAGTTGCCAAGGTATCAGCATTGTCTTGTACCAGTTCCACAAGGTGATGCAAAGAAGGCCAGGTGACATCTGCATGCCAGAGCTCAGGAATCTTAAAACATTTTATACTTTACAGTAAGCATATCTGCCTTTTGTTCCAAAGAGAGGCACTCTCTGTACCTTCCAAGGTTGTTCACTCTACAAACATCCTTGCAAAGATAATCCACAAGAAAGGCAATCAGTGCCTTTGCCCGAGAAACATGCAGAAATGCCGAGATCCATAGCAGACCACTGTCTCCCAACAACCATCAAGTTTATCAATGAAATGAAGTCTCGGGCAATTTATCTGTTACCATGGCCCTCAAAAATATCTGGCTTGTCACGAAATGTATCAGGGAAGTTAAGGAGTATCTGACTCAAAATATGAACCAAGCAATTCTCAAAGGGGCCTCCCAGGAAATTCACTTTAGGAAGTCCTACAAGGCTCCTCTGAGAGTTGCTAAAACAAAACACTGACAGCCCTAGAGGGCTGCAGAGCCGAACTTGAGCAGATATTTTTAAAGATTTTGTGGCAGAAAAAGTAACTGGAAAGCAAGAGGGCAGACCCTCACTGCAGTTCTGTAAGGTGACAGAACAGGGGCCTTTCTCACCAGAGTATGGGGTCCTGAAGATCTCAAACATTTTTATACTAGGTTCTCAGGGGCAACAGAAAAGATGGGAGCGGTGAATGGGGGGTAAAGGAATGCAAATGACACAAGGGGCCACATGAAGCAAAAGAGGTTTATTCAACCAGATTTAGTCCATGTTTAATTGAGCAACTCCTTTGTGATGAGCTCTGGGTTTTCCCATGCACCAAGCAGTGTGTTACCACCTAGACCCGGAGAGCCATGTCATCATCAGGAAAGCACGCCCTAGTGTCATGCAAGGACCAGGCCTCAGGTTTCGACTCCAGCCCTACTGCCTCTTGGCCCTGTGACATTAAAAAAGTAGGGAATCAGCCTGAGCAGCATTTCCTCATCTTCAAATGTGGGGGACAGTAGATAATCTTAGCTGCCAGAATTAGTGCTTGTAAAGCACCAGGGCTAAAGAACATTGCTATTATTACTGTATTATGCATCATATTCCCATATCATAGTCAAAAAGGACCCCAACTCAAAGCAACTGCCAGTCCTCTCCTCCTCCACCACTGCTGAATGGAGCCAGACATAAGTATTCTAGGTGGAGAGACGAATAGAAATACAGGGGACGAGCCCCTTCCTAGATCCTAGCGCAGCTTGCTCCCTACTCAAGAAATGACATTGGGCCCTGCATTCATGTTCTCTGGATGGTAATTTTCTCACCTGTAAAACAGAGACACTTGCCTCAATGATGCCCCACACGTTGTTCTGAATCCCAAAGTAAGGAACAACAAAAAGAGAACCAGGATTTGTTCAACACCCACTGAGTGCTTAGCAAACACATAGTTTCTTTAACCCTCACAACCTTCATGCTGCAGAGGAACTCTCCCCATTTTACAGATAAGGAAACAGAGGCCCAGGGGTAACCTAGGTCTGGATAGACTCCACATTTATGATTTCACAACTCTTCCTTGCCTGAAGGATATAGAATCACTCCCTGCAGGGCTCTTGCCCGACTCAAGAAAGGGCCACAGGGTAGCCGGCCGGGCTTAACCTAGCCAAGAAACGGCTGGTCCCAACTGGCTGGAGTGCAGTGTGCAGTCACGCAGCCTGGAGGACTGATCAGAAAAGAAGCCACAGCTCCAGCCCCAGCCCCAACACCCTGAGCTCAAGCCCCTGGGGACTCCTGCTGGGCAGCTCTCTAGGCCCTAGGGACATGCTCCACAGACCCAGGCTGCCCTTTGGGAAACGGGGAAGGGAAGTGAGTCAGGTGTGCACCACCCAGGGCCCCAGAGGCGGGGCCAGGCAGGCAGCTGTGGTGGGAGGCAGTTGAGCCTTGGATTGTGTCCGCATCAGGGCAGTTGGTAGATGCTCCTCTGGGAGAGATTCCCAGGGGTAACAGCCATGGATGAAGGGCCTGGGCTAGGGACAGGGACCAGAGCCGGTCCAGGGAGAGGACAGAGCCAACAGACTGGGGCGCACTGTAACAGCCCTGCTGGCAAGAGGGACCTGGGCAAGGCCCTCCAGGGAGCCCACGCTGCAAGTCAGGCCACAAGGGCCTCCGACCCTGAGGGCCGATGAGGCCAGGGACAGGCCAGCCGGGCCGTGAGGCCCCTGGTGAGCCAGGCCCCAACCTCAGGCAGCGCTGGCCCCTGCTGCTGCTGGGTCTGGCCATGGTCGCCCATGGCCTGCTGCGCCCAATGGCTGCACCGCAGAGCAGGGACCCAGACCCTGGAGCCTCAGTTGGAAGCAGCCGATCCAGCCTACAGAGCCTGTGGGGCAGGTAAGGAGCGAGAGATTTCAGGGAATGTGGGGGTCCTGCGGCAGAGCTGGGAAAGGTGACCAAGGGGAGACAAGCCAGAGGAGGAGGAAGGTTAACCCCTAAGAGGGGCCTGGGCAGACACCGGCTTTAACTAATGGGTTGATATTTGGTCCATCACAGATTTGTCTGAATTATTGTTTTTAATATCATATTAAGATATTATTTTTCTTGATTTCTGGGTTTTCTAACCCTACTTAAATTTTGCACCAGGGTCAGTGCCTCAATCACCTAGTCCTAGTCCTCTGGGTAGGGCAGGAACAGAGGCAAAGACAGGACGTCCACAGGGGGTGATGGTCACTGTCCCCACAGGATGCCCAGGCCTGTTCTTCTTCCTCCTCCTCCTCCTACTCTCTGCCCATGTGCCTCCTGCCCTGTGAGGGCAGGGGCCATTCCCTGGAGAAGGCAGCAAGGGCTTGGCTTGGTCTCCCCCAAAGCCGTTCATTCACCGACTTGCACATAAATGCTTGCTGGGGCCAGGCTCAGGGACACAGGGAAGGTGGGCTGAACCAAGGGGAGCTGTCCAGTCATCGGAACAGGCCCATGTTTGGAGCAATAAAGGGAGAGGAGAGCTCCCTCTGGGATGATGCCCAGGCTGGTCTCACAGATCAAGGGGCACTGACTGGTGATGGGTGCCCCCAAAAGACAGAGCAGTGTCAGAGGAGAGGAGAGCACAGGATGAAGCTGGTAGCTCCTGGGTGACTGGGAAGGGGAGGAAGGAAGACCATAGGATCCGTGCCCCATCCCCAGAGTCCAGGACGAGTCCTTGGATGGATTTAGATAGGAGACTGATTATCAGAGTCGGATTTGTGTTTTTGGAAAAATTAGCACTGGATAGGAGGCTGATATGAGAACTGATTAGAGGAGAGAGGAGAGGGGGTGACGGCCAGGTCCAGGGTAGGTGGGGAGCCTGGAGGAAGTCGTGGGGTGGGGAGGACACACAGATCCAGAGCACCCAGGTGCCCAGTTTCCTATGAAATGGGAGCATGAAGCTGAAGTGAGGGATGAGCAGAGGGGAGCAGACACTCTCGGGGACTGTCTATGGGCGTTGAAATGTATAACCATTTTAGTAATAGGCGGCGAGTCAAAAAACAGAGTGTATTTATCTAAATTGGGCAATTCCACTTCTAGGAATTTATCCTAATAGTGTGGCTGGGAGGGGAATAATCAAAGCTGTAACCAAATGTTTATAACAAGGGTGTGTTAGCTTAGCATTATTAATGATGGGAGAAAACTAGAAATAACCCAAATATCTGAAAGGGTGTGAAAAAACACAATTGTATTTGGCGGTTGTTGTTGTTGTTGTTGTTTTGAAACAGAGTCCTGCTCTGTTGCCCAGGCTGGAGTACAGTGGCATGGCCACAGCTCACTGCAGCCTCAACATCCAGGGCTGAAATGATCCTCCAGCCTCAGCCTCCTGAGTAGCTAGGACTACAGCTGCAGGCCACTACGCCTGGTGAATTTTTATTAGGATTATTATTATTTTAGAGACAGAGCCTCGCTATGTTGCTCAGGCCTGTCTCAAATTCCTAGGCTCAAGCAATCCTTCTGCCTCAACTTTCCCTGTGCTGGAATTACAGGCGTGAGCCACTGTACCTGGCCCAACTGTGTTTTTAAAGTATATATGCATTTTCAAAAACCTCTCTGAAAATATAGAAAAGTGTCAATGGTGTGTCTGGCTGGCTGGTGGGATTTCCCCTAATTTTAATTGTGGCTTTATAATTTTCTGGTTTTGTGATGTTGTTCACAAAAAGAGACATTTCTTCTAATACAATTTTTAATACAAGAGTAACATACTCATGTACATTACTCTTTTTGCAATAAGTACATTACAAAATGTAATGACTTTTGTACATTACTCTTTTTTCTTGCAAAAAAAAAAATTTAAGCAGAGAAGTATATAAAGTAAAAACAGTGCCTCTTCTTACCATCTCCCACCTCTTCCCAGAGATAGCCACTGTCAGGTTGGTCAATATGCTTCCAGAACTTTTCCTGTGTTGTATGTGTCCCTGAAAATACACACACACACACACACACACACACACACACAGAGTTGGTGTTGGGATTTTATTTTGCAAAAATAGAGCCATATTCTGCACATTACCAACTTTTAATCTATTATTGACACTTTCTGTATCAGTCCATATGGATTAACCACATCCATTGCTTATAAACTTTGCTTTATAAGCAAAGTTTAGATGAGCCAAGATTTATTTCCACTCAAAAATCTAAATGACAAATGATGCTGCAGTGGAAATTCGTGTGTGTGTGTGTGTGTGTGTGTGCGCGCGCAAAGTGCACTTATATATCTCCCCAGGATAGATGCCTAAAAGTGGAATTGCTGGATCAGAGAACGTACTTTTGAGATGTTATAGGTGGTGCTTCCAAAAGTCTGTGTCCACTCACTCTGGTGAGTGGTAGTGCCTTCTCTCCTACATTCTTGCCAATAATGCAAAATTGAATGTATTTATTGTTTTATTGTGTATTTTATTACTGGTGAAATTTATTTTTTATATTTTTATTTATTGGTTTTATTTCCTCTGTGGTCACCATGTTGCCCGCTTTTCCATTCTGTTGTTTTCATCTTTTTATATATCTATAATATATTGGGATATATTTGGGATTTTAGCCACTTGTTTAATATATGCATTGTAAATAATTTTCCCTGGTCTGTTTTACGGGTCTTTTGTTTATGGGGTCTCCCACCATAAAACTGTCGTAAATTTTTATGTGTCGAACTGGTTTAACCTTTTATGGTTTCTGTGACCTCCGCCATGTGTAGGAAGTTGTCTTTATTTCAATATTATAAAGTCATTTTTCTATCTTATTGTGGTACTTTTGGTATATTGGTGTTTTATTGGTTTTTTTTTCTTTACTTCACCTGGAGTTTATTTTTGTGGATGTAGGAATAAAACCTTATCTTCCAAATAGGAAAGTCAATCATCACACCTTTGTTGAATATAAATGCAGCTTTACTCAACTACTACACATTATTGATTTGTTACATTCTTTCTGTGGTTCTCTTGGTTTATTGATCTATTCCCACACCCAACCTGTTTTGGTTATTTTAGCTTTATAGTATGTTCAGTATCTGGTAGGGAAAGAACCTGTCATCGTTACTTTTTCTCAAAATAGTCATGTCTATTACCCGTCGTTCTTAAGAGTTAGACTGCAGAATCGGTTCCCTAATTTTCAAAAATCATTCTTTTGGTGTTATGTTTGTAATATCATAGAAGATGGGATTAATTTGAGAACTGCTATATTTATAATGCTCAGTGGTGCTTTTGTCCAGAGACATGACATACTCTCCATTCACTCAGAGAAGTGGTTTAATATTTTATTCATGCAAATCTTGCACACTTTGTTTTTTATTCATAAAGCGTTTGTAAATATTTTACTGAAGTTACAAATTTTTTTCCCAATTTCATATCCTAAATGATTACTGTTTCTATAGCAAGGAACCCTGTTAACTTCCGTACGTTACGCTTGTATCCAGCCACTTTAACTCTTGTATTAATTCCAGCAGTTCTTCAGCTGATTCTCTGTGTGTGTGTGTATGTGTGTGTGTGTGTTTAGCCAACTATCACACCATTTGCCAAAAACAATTTCCTCTCTTTTTCCATAATATTTATACATCCTCTTCTCCCCACTTTATGTCATTTCATTGGCTAGAATCTATGGAATATGTTAAATAATAAAAGTGAGACTAGACAACCTTACCTTGTTTCTGATTCTTCAAATATTTTGGCTTTAAATATGAAGGTTGCAGTAAATTTGGGGAGATATTCTTCGTTAAGAAAGTTTTCTTCAGTAACTTAATAAAATGCTAAATGTTTGCTTTCTTTATGTGAGAAACAAGTGTTGAATTTATATTACTATTATATTAAATTGTTTCAAAAATCTGCTGCACACGTCTTAAATACAAATGTATTAAATACAAGCTGCTGCTGAGATGAAAATTGCTGGCCCCGTTACAATGGGTATCTTGCAATGTAAATAAATTCCCTTGGGAAATAAAATCAGATTTGGAAAGGTCTGAGGATTCTTGCCATCACTTAGCCTGTGACCTGGGTGTTTTTCTTTTTCTCTGGGGGATGTTAATGGTATCTTGTGTCATGCTAGGATGTCTAGGACAGAGAGCAATACAATGAGGGGAAGGCATTCTGCGATGTCCCCATGCCTCTGGCTTGAAGAGTAAATTGCTGAAGTGAGGACTCTGTGGAGGAGCAACGTTATATGGAAATAAGTTTAGTTGGGATCTATTGAGTTGGAGGTGTCTACAGAGCATCCAAGCAGACGTAAGTTGAGGAGGCAGAATATATGTGAATCTGGAGCCAAGAAGAGAGGTAAGGGCTGGAAATAGGGATCTAAGACCCCTGGACAGTTGTGAGTGTGCACAATGAGGGTCAGATGCAGAGAAAATTAGGAGAATACAGGGAGCAGAACCCAGGATGGGGATCTGGGAGTCGGCAGTTGGGCATGGGCCTGAGAGAATAGGAAGCCGAGGAGGAAAGGGGGCAGTCTCCGACACCAAGGAGGGGAGAGTGACTAGAAAGAAGAACTTCTTGCAGAGACCTAAGGGGACTGGGGAAGAACTGCAGACTGAACTGGGACAAAGCACTGTTGGCCTTAACCAGAGAGATTTGAGGGAGAGATGAGGCTGAGAGCCAGGCGACCCTGCCATGTCCCAGCATAAAAACAGTACCTGACACAGATGGATGCTTGGGAGCTGTTGTTGGATGAATGAGTGGACAGATGCATGGATGTATGGGTGATATATGGATGGACAAACAGATGAATAGATGAACAGCTGGATGGACAACTGAATGGATGGGTAGATGGAAAGAATGATCTGAGAGATCAGAAAAAGCTTCATGCACAAAGTGGGATTGAACTGCGTCTCCATGGGTAGAAAGCAGAGGACTATCCACTTGAGTCAGGAATGACCCAGTGTTCTCAATATAGGGAGAAAGCCAGCCTAGCTTGACTGGGGACACTCATGGGGGGGACTCAGAGGCCCTTTAAATGAGGTCAGACGAGGTTGGACGGGTCGAAGCCAACTCAGCACTCCTCTGCCACACTGCACAGGAGGGGATGTGTCACTCTGGGAGTTGCTGGGACCTATTGGTCCCAGCGTTGTCATCAGCACTCACAGCCTCAGAGAGGAAGGACACACACTGGGTTGACTCCAAAGCTGTGGGTGGCACTTGCCTTGGACAGGGGACAGGCATGGGGAAACCTCTGGGGGACTGGCCACCCCCCTGCCTCATGCCTAGGTCCCAGCCCCGCCTACTGCAACCCTGTGCCCGTCATGCCCAGCAGGCTCCTACTCTAGCCCAGCCCCCAGGGAGCAGACCCCAGGTGCTGGCCCCGGGGGTTTTGGTCTGAGCCTCAGTCACTGTGTTACATCTTCGGTGCTGGGACCCGGCTCACCGTCCTAGGTAAGTGGCTTTCATCCTTTCCCAGATTGTCTCACCCTCTGCTGTCCCTGGAAAATCTGTTTTCTCTCTCTAGGGCTTCCTTCCATCTGTCCTCCCAGCCTTAAGCACTGACCCCTACCTTTCTCCATGGGGCCTGGAGGAGGCGCGTTAGTCTCGGGGTAACCGGCAGGAAGGGCCCCCACAGTGGGAGCAGCTGCCTTCAGGTTCCAAGAGCTGGATGCAGCCTGGTCCCGGGGCCTGAGCTGGGATTGGGCAGGGTCAGGGCTCCTCCTCTCTTCCAGGGCAGATGTCTGAGTGAGGGACAGAGGCTGGCTCTGATGAGGGGCCCTGCAGTGGCCTTAGGGACATTGCCCAGTGACCCCTGGGGTCAAGGCCAGAGGCTGCTGGGGTGGGCCTGGGGGCTGCTGAGTCTCATAGTCTAGGGGAGTAGCCCCAAGAACAGCTGAGGGTCTAGGCTGAGGACTCGATGCCTATCCAGCCTGGGAGGGCCACATGGGGGCCTGGTGACACAGGGGTCACCCCAAGCGGAGACGAGTGGAGGGCACAGAGAGAGCTCTGGGTCTAGGCTGCAACTCTGTGGTTTGTGCTGGGTCATGAGGACATGGGGACACAGAAGGACGGGTGAGACTGGGGTAGGTGCCAGAATCTGACCCTCCCAGGACAGTCACCAGAAAGGAGAGGGTGTCTTAGGGCAGAGATGTGTCTGTCCCTAGAGCCCCGTCACCTCTGGGGCTCGGTGTTTCTCCATTCACGGATCGGACTCCTGCTTGCCTCAAAGGGCATGTTAGACTCAGTCGAGCAAATGAGGGGTGCAGAGAACTCCATGGCTACCACGCGAAGTTTGGGGTCATCAGAGGCTGCTGGGGTGGACCAGGGGGCTGCTGAGTCTCATAGTCTAGGGGGGCAACCACAAGACCAGCTAAAGTGAAGGGTTCTGTAGTCGGGCTCGTGGACACAGGAGACATCTCAAAGCCTCAGAGCAGCCCTGAGGCTTGTCTAGGTGGAGCCCACTCCTTGCCAGGAGAGCCAAGTGGGCCGGGTGGGGGCAGAGCCCGGTGCCTGTGAAGGGTAGAAAGCTCCAGTTCAAAGCAGGCTTGGGCCTCCACATGCACTGCCTGCCAGGACAGCCCTACGGGCTGAGCAGGGGACCCACAATTCAGAGGAGGCTCTAGGTCCCAGAAGAATAAAGTGGGTGGTGGAGGGGGTGTCTAGGGGTGGAAATGAGGGATCCAGGGGTCAAGGCCACATTCTGAACTCAGACTCCAGAGATCAGAGAAGGGAACACAGCCTGCCCTGGGTATATGGGGAAATCGAGGCTGTAGAGGAGAGGGGCTGGACCAGGACACCTGGGAAAGGTGACTTGGGAGGGCTCCTAGGAAGGTACAGAGCTGTCTGCCCTCCACAGGGCATGAGTGGAAAGGACGGGGAAAGGAGAGAAGGAGAGAACCCCGAGTGGACCCGACGGCCCCACTGTGAACCCTCCCAGAGACTTTAGACAGAGAGAGGGGCTCCACAACACCCCGATGTTCTGTCTGCCCTCTCTCACCCCCTTCCCTGTCCACACAGGTCAGCCCAAGGCTGCCCCCTCGGTCACTCTGTTCCCACCCTCCTCTGAGGAGCTCCAAGCCAACAAGGCCACACTAGTGTGTCTGATCAGTGACTTCTACCCGGGAGCCGTGAAAGTGGCCTGGAAGGCAGATGGCAGCCCCGTCAACACGGGAGTGGAGACCACCACGCCCTCCAAACAGAGCAACAACAAGTACGCGGCCAGCAGCTACCTGAGCCTGACATCCGACCAGTGGAAGTCCCACAAGAGCTACAGCTGCCAGGTCACGCACGAAGGGAGCACCGTGGAGAAGACAGTGGCCCCTGCAGAATGTTCATAGGTTCCCACCCCTCACCCTACCCACGGGGGCCTGGAGCTGCAGGATCCCAGGGGAGGGGTCTCTCTCTCTCCATCACAAGGCATCCAGCCCTTCTCCCTGCACTCAATAAACCCTCAATAAATATTCTCATTGACAATCAGAAATCTTGTTTCATCTCATTTTTTCTTAAATTCCTAGCCTTCCCGTGGATCTCAGTGTGGGGTACAGGGAATTCTGCATCTAGTGTCAAAGTTACCCAAGGGGAGGAGGCTCACAGCCTCCCCGAGTCATCTCCCCAAAGGGTCCTTCCTCGCCCAGTCACCCCTCCCCCAACTCTCCACTGTACCCCTGAGCCACCAGCCTGACATCAGTTCAGACCAGTCCCACACCTTCCTCAATTTTACTTCTCAACAAAGACCTGATCATGTAAAACCCAGCATTTCTAATGTGCCATCTGCGTCTGGTCATGTGTCTGGGCTGAAGGGTCCCCGCTCAAGGACAGGGGGCAGTTCCAGGTGAGATCCCATGTCACCATCATCCCACATCCCACCCAACCTGCCAGGGAACTGGGTGAGCTCCCTGTGCCAGTGGGAACCGCAATCCAGGGCAGAAAACTGTCCTGCAGTCTTTGCCCAACTGGGAAGGGACAGGGGCCCAGTGGGAGGTTTGCTGGGGGACTGTGGGGAGATTCAGGAGAAATGAAGGGGATCCTCGGAGACCAGATGTGGGTTAGAGGGAGCAATAATGGAAAAAGGACACCTTTGACTCAAGACCATGGTACCAGCAGGAACAGAAGCCGAAATTCCCCATTGCATACGAGGAACCAGTCAGGAGGGTGTTTACTGGGTGAGTGGTGAATAACTGTGCCGCCACTGGGAACTCGTAAAAACATTGGGAGAGGAATCATGCAGATGTCTTTGTAAGGCTTCCACAATGCACACTGGCTGAGGAAACACACTGACAAATCCTGAACTAGGGAACCAGTTTAATATGATGAACCATAGCATATCCAAAAGCATGGTGATCTCCTTCTCCAGCTTCAGAAGACCCAAAATACTCTGAAAGATACCAGCGCTTCCTGGAACTAGTTTGGGGAATATGGGGTGAGGTTGATGCACAAGATATTACAGGTGTGTGATCACATGGCTGTGGATTGGGGATCAGGCTCAAGGTTAACACTAGCGTGGGGCTGGACGTCAAGCATGAAGGGTGTAAACTACTAAGTCAGGCCCAGGTAGAGTTAGTTTCTGACTGGTTTGTGGATGGATCTTGATGATGGTCAGCCTGCAGGAGCAGGAGGATGTGGGGAAATTGAGAGAACATGAGAAAAGTCACCAATCCAAGCTCCGCATCTATTGATTGCCTGGGGGAGGCTATGTCAGAGTCGAATTCAGGACGAGCTTCAGGGCTGGGTCAGGCTGGATAAGAGCTGAGTGAACGTGGGCTGACAGCTTCAGGCAAGGCCTGGCCTCCGTTAGGAGTCAGATCCCACAAACCCTCCTGCCTGCGGAGCACCCTCTCCCTCCCTAGCTCATGACGGTGCAGCCTCCCTACCCAATCCCATGTACACCTGCTGCCTCATCTCAGAGACTTCTCAACTCATCCCAGTGTCTCTGCCAGCAGATGATCTTGGCCTCCTGGGTGTGGAGACCCCAGCTGCCTTGGTGAGTCCTCAGTGCCTGGGTACTCTCAGACCCCTTGTCTCTGCCTCCAGCACATCAGGCATGTGGCAGCTGCCTTCACCAGACCTGTTGGGTAGTCCTGACAAGCCAGGGACAGAGCCTGCAAAGACAGGAAGCTCTGCAGTCACAATGAGGCAAAGAAAGGGCCCCTTACAGCTTGATCACAGCCACACCTGATCCAAATCCCAGCCTCTCATTAGAAGAACACTTGAGGGTTCTAGTTGCCACAGCACCTGTCTCAGCCCATTTCATGGAGGGGAAAACTGAGACCACCAAGGGCCACATCCATAGCCCTGCTGGGTATAAAGCCATCCGCAGCAGCTGCCTGACCTCCTTTCACTGCGTTGTAAGTTTCCATTATGGAAAACTTTGAACACATACATAAGGAGGCAGAGGAATAATGATGCCCCCAAGTTCCCATCACCCAGTCCCCCAAATAAGTAATTCACAGACATTACTGACCTACACATGGCAGAATAATCCCCACATTACACAATACTTAGTAACAAATACCAGAAATCACATCCTTTCAGCTGTAAATATCTCATTTCTATGCCAGAAAGATATGGGCTTAAAAATAACTACAATATTATTACCAAACCTAAACAGAAATTATCACTAATTTCCTAATACCAAGAAATAATCACGGGCTCCTCAAATGCCTCACAAATGCCAGAAGCATACTGACTTAGTTATGTGTTGGTGCCGTGGTTATTTTGGGGTTTCTGGTTGCTTATTTGAGAATTCAATATGGCATGAACTGGTGATGGGTGCATGTGCTGTTAGGCTGCTTGTCACTGGTGAATATCTCCAAATTACTCTAGTGCTTCCTGGAAAGGCAGGAGCTGCAGGAACTGAGAGCTGTCTGGGGACCTTCCCATGGTTGGAATAAAGCCACACCTCACAGAACAAGAACCCAGGACTATCATCTACTTCCGTTTTTGTTTTGTTTTGTTCTTTTCTGCAAAATGGTTAGAGCTTGGAGGGACATAACTGGACTCAGAATAGACATTGCAAATGGCTTCCAAGGACATGGGGCTGCTACCAGCAAAGTCACCCATGTCACATTGCCACTCCTGTAGTAATGTTAGGTGCACAGGATGGTCAATAGTTACATCTCTCAGATGGGAAGGAAGACAGAGGATTGAGGCTTCAGTTCACCACCTTCTCATGAGCGCTGCAGAGTGTCTTTGAAGCCAGGGGTCTACAGCTGGGCTCTGTTCACCCAGGAGTGAGTTTCATGCTCTAGGAAGGAGCCACTTTGCACACAGATGATCCAGGACCCAGCCATCCTTCCAGGGTGAAGAATTCATGTCTTCTCTCATGGTGAACTCTAGGATTCGAGTCATCTAATGTTTTTGAAGCCACTGCCATTATATTTGATGATAACAGGTGGCCATCAATGATATTTTCCCAGGGGGAGTCACCCCAGTGGCATCAGACTTTTCACATGGCACCACGGGATTAAATGGCTCCTGATTAGTCAGAGGATAACACGGTCTAACTTATCATGTCCCTTTCTTATTTGTCTTCTATGTCTTTCTTGCCCCAGTCCTCGGATCCCCGACTGATCTCCCATCCCTTAGTGAGAGGTGGTATTTGGAGACCACATTCTGGAGGCTCCCTCATGTCCCCCATTTGAAAAAGACAATGGCAGCCACCACCCCAGTTGTCCCACCCAACATGACACCAGATTCAGGGCTGCAGGGGATGCTCCCAGGGTTACCCTAATACATGTGGCTGGCATTTCATATTGGGACCAGCCAGGCCTCACTGACCAGGCCTAGCCAACTAGAACTCCTCCAGAAGGTGGGGCTGGAACCCACCAAGGTTCCCAGAACACTGCAACCAGCCTCTCCGTGGGAGGACGGGGCACCCTCTGCATTACCCCATGGTGTTACGAAAAATGGAACCATGGGTTGGTTCAACTTTACAGAGAAGAGCCCACCTATCCCATCTGTGGAAATTCACTCCTTAGTGACACTAATGCCCTCCAATAAATTCAATCCTGGACCTAACTGATGGTTGGCACAAAAACCAAATCTAAGATCCCAATGTCCTCCAGAAGCCTGGACTTCTAGGGATCCTGCTGCAGGTCACAGGATGTCACCGGTCCTCTTCTCTCTGTGGGCTGAGTGGGGGGGCCATGTGGACTCCCTCAAGAGCAGATGCCACCAGGGTCAGTGGCCCCAGCTTCCTCCTTCACAGCTGCACTGGGGGCTGGGTGTAGGGGCGTCCCAGGGAGGGTTTTTGTATGAGCCTCTGTCACAGTGTGGGTTATTCGGAGGAGGGACCCGGCTGACCGTCCTAGGTGAGTCTCTTCTCCCCTCTCCTTCCCCACTCTTGGGACAATTTCTGTTGTTTTTGTTTGTTTCTGCGTCTTGTCTCAACTTGTGGTCAGGCTTTCTCCCTGGATCCCAGGCCTGAGCAAGGACCTCTGTCCTCCCTGTCAGACCTTTCCCTGCCTCAGCAGGTCACTACGACCCCTTCACCTCTGACCACAGGGGGATGGGACTGTATAGAATGACTTCCTAAGCCCCATTTGTCTGTCTCCTCTCTGTCTGTCTGGCTGGCTGGCGGGCTGGCTGTCTCTACATCTGCCAGAGGAAGGCTGGGTCTCTAAGCGTCCTTCTGTTCTGGCCTCCTCAGTCTGGGTTCTTGTTAGAACAGCATTGTTCTTGGGTTACTTCGGTTCCATCTCCTGGGGAATCAGGAACAAGGGGTCCGAGGGGGGGACCTCCTGGGAGACTTTAGACGGACCCAGTGCCCTCGGGGCTGCTGCTCAGGAATCACAGGGCTGGGACCCAGGACCAGAATCCAGACCCAGAGTGAGGTAGGAGGTGGACGGGCTGCCCTGGGTGTCTGGGGGCTGCCAGGGACTGAGCCCTGAGCCAGCCTGAGACTCAGGAAACCCAGTCAGGAGGGAGAAGGGAGCAGCAGACTCTGGATACCAGAAAGCCAGGGAACGGGTCTCCAAAGGAGAGGATGTGAGGAAAGGGCAGGCTCCTGGGTCTCTTCAGGACATATCCCCTGTGCCCAGGAGGATCAGAGGGGGCAGAATACACAGTGGGAAAGCCCCGCTGCTATGACCAGGTAGCCGGGACGTGGGGTGGATGCCAGAAAAGACCCCGTGGAATAAGAGAAACCCCAGGACAGCAGACAGACTCTCTGAGCCCCAGGCCCTTGCCCCACACACAGGCTCCAGAACTCATATTTGGCTGGAACAGCCTGAGGGACCAAAACGCCCCAGCATCCCACAGAGCAGGGGAGCCAGGCCAGAAAAGTAACCTCAGAGGTCGCTGTGCAGGAGAGACACAGCTCTCTTCATCTGCTCAGGGGACAGATGCCACCCAGAAGGCCCTGTCAGGATGGCAGGAGAGGGCAGGGTCAGGGCGCTGACAGTCAGATGTCCGTGTGGGAGGCCAAGACCCTGAGAGATCTCAGGACAGGTGATCAGAAGGTGTCTAAGGTGAAACAGCTCCCAGTGCAGATCAGGACATGGTGGAAAACACCCTGAGCCCTCTACACGGCACAGACCCTCGACACACAGCCCCGGAACAAGCGCACCCCAACATCTCATCATATACTGAGGTCAGGGGCTCCCCGGGTGGACACCGGGACTCTGACCCCCTGCTCCTCGTTCACCCCGCAGGTCAGCCCAAGGCTGCCCCCTCGGTCACTCTCTTCCCGCCCTCCTCTGAGGAGCTTCAAGCCAACAAGGCCACACTAGTGTGTCTGATCAGTGACTTCTACCCGGGAGCCGTGGAAGTGGCCTGGAAGGCAGATGGCAGCGCTGTCAACGCGGGAGTGGAGACCACCAAACCCTCCAAACAGAGCAACAACAAGTACGCGGCCAGCAGCTACCTGAGCCTGACGTCCGACCAGTGGAAGTCCCACAAGAGCTACAGCTGCCAGGTCACGCACGAAGGGAGCACCGTGGTGAAGACAGTGGCCCCTGCAGAATGTTCATAGCTTCCCAACCCTCACCCCACCCACGGGGGCCTGGAGCTGCAGGATCCCAGGGGAGGGGTCTCTCCTCCCACCCAAGGCATCCAGCCCTTCTCCCTGCACTCAATAAACCCTCAATAAATATTCTCATTGACAATCAGAAATCTTGTTTTATCTCGCTTTTTCTTTTCTCACGTGTAATTCCTAGCCTTTCCTGCGTTCTCAGTTTGGGATGGAAAGAATCCTGAACCCAGTGGGAAAGTTCCCCAGGTGAAGGGGTTCTCAGTCTCCTGGGTATCTCTGCAGGTGGGGCCTTCCTCACCCAGACACCACTTCCTCAGCTCTCCACTGTATCCCTGAGCCACCAACCTTGCCTGGCTGGGACTAGGGGGGTGTCACACTCTCCTAAATTCTGTCTTTCAACAGAGACCTAACCACGCATCACACGGCACTGCTCGCATGCCTTCTGTGTCTGTTCCGGTCTCTGGGCTGAAGAGTTGCTGGTCTGGAACAGGGGATATGTCTGCTCTTTGTCACATGCCAGGTCCCTGACATGGCATCCCTGAACCTGTACGCCAAGCCAGTGACTCCACGGAGCTCTCTGTGTCAGGGGGATCCATGATCCAGAGCTTCATGTTGTCCTGCAAGCATCTGGTGGGATGTAGGTCTTGCAAAACTGGGAAATACCATGGTTCAGCACCAGGATGCAGAACAGTCCTGAGAGGGAAATCAGGAAAAATGAAGGGGTCTCTGAGGAGCCCAGATCCGTGCGCTAGAGGCAGAAGTAAGGGTGAAGAGCACCTATGAGTCAATGTCATGGTCTCAGGAGGAACAGAGTTGAAAATCTCCATTCCCCATGAGACCATTTAGCAGGAAAGGAGTCCATACTTGTGCTGCCACCGGAAGCACTGAGAAGGCTTGGAGAATGAAACATACAGGTGCATTTCCTAGACTTGACAATGCACGTTATCCAAGAAAAGGCAATGAAAAGTTCTCTACTAGGGAAATCATTTCATATGACAAAGCTTAGCTTTCCTAAAGTCACATTTATCCATCTGGCACCTGAATAAACCCCATAATATTCTTCAAGATACTAGCATTTCATGGATCTACTTTATGGAACATAAAGTGAGATTTAAGAACAAAGGTGTTACGGCTGTATGATCAGATGGCTGTAGGCTCAGGGTCAGGCTCAAGGTCTGAAGGAGGCCATGTCAAATTCATGACAAGAGTTGGAGCTGGGTCAGACTAGGTCAGGGCTATGTGAATGTGGGTGTAGGACTATAGGCAAGGTCAAGGCATCCAGGAACACTCAGCTCCCTCAGACCCTCCTGCCCACTGGGACCTTCTCCCTCCCTTGTTCACAGTGGTGGAGCCTTCCTACTCAAACTGCTATGGAGGCCCTGGATGACTGTGCGTTCTTAGTGCCCAGGAAAACTTAGACTCCGTCTCTGCCTCCAGCATGTCAGAGATGTGGCATCTGCCTTCACCAGAGCTGCCGGGTGGCCCTGACAGGCCAGAGACAGAGCCTGCAAAGACAGGAAACTCTGAAGTCACAATGAGACACAGAAAGGGCCCCTTAGTGCTTGATCACAGCCACCTCTCCTCCAAATCCCAGCCTCTGAATTACAAGAAGACTGAAGGGTTCCAGTGACCACATGTCCTTCCCTAACCCCGTTTCACAAATGAGAAAACTAAGACCACCCAAGGAGGGCCAGATCCACAACTCTGCTGGGTACAAAGCCATGGTCTACTTCACGCCCAGCAGCTGTCCAAAGACTGACCTGCGTTGTAAGTGTATATTATGAAGAACTTTGAACATACAAATAAGGAGACAGAAAAATAACAATGTCCCATGTTCTCATCGCCCAGCACTCAAAATGAGCAATTCAAAGATGATGCCGACCCACCCACAGCAAAATAAATTCTCCCTTGCACAATATTTAGAAAGAAATACCAGACATCAGATCTGTTCACCTGTAAGTAATCCATTACTGTCCTGGAAGGATATGGACCTTAAAATAACTATAATATCATTACCACACCTAAATAGAAATTATCGCTAATTCCCTAATATCGAAAAATAAGCAGGGTCTCCTCAAATGCATCACAAACACCAGAAGTGCACTTAGTTACATGTTGGTGCTGCTGTTTATATGAGGAGCAATATGGCATCAAACGGTAATGGGTGCATGTGCCGTCAGGCCGGTTGTCACTGGTGAATATCTCCTCATTTGCTCTAGAGCCTCCCAGCAAGGCAGGAGCCGCAGGAGCTGAGAGCTGTCTGGAGACCTTCCCGTGGTTGGAATACAGCCATGCCTCCTGGAGCAGGAACCTAGGGCTTCCCTCAGCTTTTATTTTCCTGGAAAATGATTCTAGCATGAAGGGGATTAACTTGATTCAGATTGGACATTGCAAATGGCTTCCAAGGACATGGGCTGCTGCCAGCCAAGTCACCCATGTCAGGTTGCCACTCTTGTAGTAATGTTGGGTGCACAGGATGGCCAATAGCTACATCCCTCAGATGGGAAGGAAGGTAGAGGGTTGAAGCTTCAGTTCACCTCCTTCTCATGAGCGCTGCAGAGTGTCTGTGAAAGTCAGGGGTCTACAGCTGGGCTCTGTTCACCCAGGAGTGAGCTTCATGATCTAGGAAGGAGCCATTTTACACACAGATGATCCAGGACCCAGCCATCCTTCCAAGGTGAAGAATTCATCTCTTCTCTCATGGTGAATTCTAGGATTCAAGCCATGTAATATTTTTGAAGCCACTGTCATTATATTTAATTGATGATGACAGGCGACCACCAATGATGAATATTTTCCCATGGGAGGTCTCCCCAAGTGGCATCAGACTTTCTCACATGGCTCCAGGGGATTAAATGGCTCCTGATTAGTCAGAGGAAAAGAAGTTCTGTCTTATCATGTCCCTTTCTTATTTGTCTGACGTGTTTTTCCTCCCTCAGGCCTAGGATTCCCCACTGATCTCCCATCCCTTAGTGAGAGGTGGTATTTGGAGACCACATTCAGCAAGCTCCCTCATGTCCCCCATTTGAAAAAGACAACAGCAGCCACCACCCCAGTTGTCCCACCCACCATGACACCAGATTCAGGGCTGCAGGGGATGCTCCCAGGGTTACCCTAACACATGTGGCTGGCATTTCATATTGGGACCAGTCAGGCCTCACTGACCAGGCCTAGCCAACTAGAACTCCTCCAGAAGGTGGGGCTGGAACCCACCAAGGTTCCCAGAACACTGCACTCTTGGGCAACCAGCCTCTCCGTGGGAGGAGAGGGGCACCCTCGGCACCACCCCATGGTGTTACCAAAAGTGGAACCATGGGTTGGTTCAACTTTACAGAGAAGAGCCCACCTATCCCATCTGTGGAAAGTCACTCCTTAGCGACACTAATGCACTCCAATAAATTCAGTCCTAGGCCTGATTGATGGTTGGCACAAAAACCAAATCTAAGATCCCAATGTCCTCCAGAAGCCTGGATTTCCAGGGATCCTGCTGCAGGTCACAGGATGTCATCGGTCCTCTTCTCTCTGTGGGTTGAGTGGGGGGGCCATGTGGACTCCCTCATGAGCAGACGCCACCAGGGTCAGTGGCCCCAGCTTCCTCCTTCACAGCTGCACTGGGGGCTGGGTGTAGGGGCATCCCAGGGAAGGTTTTTGTATGAGTCTGTGTCACAGTGTTGGGTATTCGGAGGAGGGACCCGGCTGACCGTCCTAGGTGAGTCTCTTCTCCCCTCTCCTTCCCCACTCTTGGGACAATTTCTGTTGTTTTTGTTTGTTTCTGCATCTTGTCTCAACTTGCGGTCAGGCTTTCTCCCTGGATCCCAGGCCTGAACAAGGACCTCTGCCCTCCCTGTCAGACCCTTGCCTGCCTCAGCAGGTCACTACGACCCCTTCACCTCTGACCACAGGGGGAGGGGACTGTATAGAATGACCTTCTAAGCCCCATTTGTCTGTCTCCTCTCTGTCTGGCTGGCTGGCTGTCTCTACATCTGCCAGAGGAAGGCTGGATCTCTAAGCGTTCTTCTGTTCTGGTCTCAGTCTGGATTTTTGTCAGAGCAGTGTTACTCTTGGGTTACTTCGGTTCCATCTCCTGGGGAATCAGGAACAAGGGGTCCGAGGGGGGGACCTCCTGGGAGACTTTAGACGGACCCTGTGCCCTCAGGGCTGCTGCTCAGGAATCACAGGGCTGGGACCCAGGACCAGAATCCAGACCCAGAGTGAGGTAGGAGGTGGACGGGCTGCCCTGGGTGTCTGGGGGCTGCCAGGGACTGAGCCCTGAGCCAGCCTGAGACTCAGGAAACCCAGTCAGGAGGGAGAAGGGAGCAGCAGACTCTGGATACCAGAAAGCCAGGGAACGGGTCTCCAAAGGAGAGGATGTGAGGAAAGGGCAGGCTCCTGGGTCTCTTCAGGACATATCCCGCGTCCAGGGGGATCAGAGGGGGCAGAATACACAGTGGGAAAGCCTCGCTACTATGACCAGGTAGCCAGGACGTGGGGTGGATACCAGAAAAGATCCCGTGGAATGAGGGAAACCCCAGGACAGCAGACAGACTCTCTGACCCCCAGGCCCTTGCCCCACACACAGGCTCCAGAACTCATATTTGGCTGGAACAGCCTGAGGGACCAAAACGCCCCAGCATCCCACAGAGCAGGGGAGCCAGGCCAGAAAAGTAACCTCAGAGGTCGCTGTGCAGGAGAGACACAGCTCTCTTCATCTGCTCAGGGGACAGATGCCACCCAGAAGGCCCTGTCAGGATGGCAGGAGAGGGCAGGGTCAGGGCGCTGACGGTCAGATGTCCGTGTGGGAGGCCAAGACCCTGAGAGATCTCAGGACAGGTGATCAGAAGGTGTCTAAGGTGAAACAGCTCCCAGTGCAGATCAGGACATGGTGGAAAACACCCTGAGCCCTCTACACGGCACAGACCCTCGACGCACAGCCCCGGAACAAGCGCACCCCAACATCTCATCATATACTGAGGTCAGGGGCTCCCCGGGTGGACACCGGGACTCTGACCCCCTGCTCCTCGTTCACCCCGCAGGTCAGCCCAAGGCTGCCCCCTCGGTCACTCTCTTCCCGCCCTCCTCTGAGGAGCTTCAAGCAAACAAGGCCACACTAGTGTGTCTGATCAGTGACTTCTACCCGGGAGCCGTGGAAGTGGCCTGGAAGGCAGATGGCAGCGCTGTCAACGCGGGAGTGGAGACCACCAAACCCTCCAAACAGAGCAACAACAAGTACGCGGCCAGCAGCTACCTGAGCCTGACGTCCGACCAGTGGAAGTCCCACAAGAGCTACAGCTGCCAGGTCACGCACGAAGGGAGCACCGTGGTGAAGACAGTGGCCCCTGCAGAATGTTCATAGCTTCCCAACCCTCACCCCACCCACGGGGGCCTGGAGCTGCAGGATCCCAGGGGAGGGGTCTCTCCTCCCACCCCAAGGCATCCAGCCCTTCTCCCTGCACTCAATAAACCCTCAATAAATATTCTCATTGACAATCAGAAACTTGTTTTATCTCGTTTTTTCTTTTCTCACGTATAATTCCTAGCCTTCCCTGGGTTCTCCATTTAGAGTGGAGGGAATTCTGCACCCAGTGGGAAAGTCACCCAACGGAAGAGGCTCACAGCCTCCCCAAGTCATCTTCTCAGAGGATCCTTCCTCTCCCAGTCACCCCTCCCCCAACTCTCCGCCATACCCATGACCCTGGCATCAGCTCAGACCAGTCCAACACCCTCCTCAATTTTACTTTTCAATGAAGACCTGATCACATAGAACCCAGTTTCCAATGTGCCATCTGTCTGGTCATGTGCCTTTGCTAAAGGGTCACTGCTCAGAGACAACGGGCAGTTTGAAGTGAGATCCCATGCCCCCATCATCCCACACCCTACCCAACCTGCCAGGGAATCAGGTGAGCTCCCTGCGCCAGTGGGAACCGTGACCCGGAGCACAAAGTTGTTCCTGCAGAGTGGGTCCTGAAATGCAGTTCTTGCCCACCTGGGAAGGATGTGGAACCTAGTGAGGACAGAGTGGTGGCCCCGAGCGGGGTATCAGGGAGAAACGAGGAGTGTTCCAGGACCCCTGCTTTGGACTAGAGACGGAAAACCCTTGAGCCCAGGCCAAGATCAGAGCAGGAACAGGGTTGAACTTCCCTGTCCCATCCATGATATCCAGTTAGGAGACCATTTACTAGGTGAGGGGTCCATGGTTGTGCCATCACCAGGGAGACATGAAAAGGCTGGAAAATGGAACCCTTTAGTGTAGTTCTCACTTTCAGAATGCACATTAGCTATGAAAGATGCTAACAAGTCCTGCAGTTGTAAACAGTTCTTTTTTTTCTTTTTTTTTTTTTTGAGACGAAGTGTTGCTGTGTGGCCCAGGCTGGAGTTCAGGGGTGTGATCCCGGCTCACTGCAAGTTCCGCCTCCTTCTCATTGACAATCAGAAAACTTGTTTTATCTCGTTTTTTCTTTTCTCACGTATAATTCCTAGCCTTCCCTGGGTTCTCCATTTAGAGTGGAGGGAATTCTGCACCCAGTGGGAAAGTCACCCAACGGAAGAGGCTCACAGCCTCCCCAAGTCATCTTCTCAGAGGATCCTTCCTCTCCCAGTCACCCCTCCCCCAACTCTCCGCCATACCCATGACCCTGGCATCAGCTCAGACCAGTCCAACACCCTCCTCAATTTTACTTTTCAATGAAGACCTGATCACATAGAACCCAGTTTCCAATGTGCCATCTGTCTGGTCATGTGCCTTTGCTAAAGGGTCACTGCTCAGAGACAACGGGCAGTTTGAAGTGAGATCCCATGCCCCCATCATCCCACACCCTACCCAACCTGCCAGGGAATCAGGTGAGCTCCCTGTGCCAGTGGGAACCGTGACCCGGAGCACAAAGTTGTCCCTGCAGAGTGGGTCCTGAAATGCAGTTCTTGCCCACCTGGGAAGGATGTGGAACCTAGTGAGGACAGAGTGGTGGCCCCGAGCGGGGTATCAGGGAGAAACGAGGAGTGTTCCAGGACCCCTGCTTTGGACTAGAGACGGAAAACCCTTGAGCCCAGGCCAAGATCAGAGCAGGAACAGGGTTGAACTTCCCTGTCCCATCCATGATATCCAGTTAGGAGACCATTTACTAGGTGAGGGGTCCATGGTTGTGCCATCACCAGGGAGACATGAAAAGGCTGGAAAATGGAACCCTTTAGTGTAGTTCTCACTTTCAGAATGCACATTAGCTATGAAAGATGCTAACAAGTCCTGCAGTTGTAAACAGTTCTTTTTTTTCTTTTTTTTTTTGAGACGAAGTGTTGCTGTGTGGCCCAGGCTGGAGTTCAGGGGTGTGATCCCGGCTCACTGCAAGTTCCGCCTCCCAGGTTCACGCCATTCTCTTGCCTCAGCCTCCCGAGTAGCTGGAACTACAGGTGCCCACCACCATGCCCCGCTAATTTTTCTATTTTTAGTAGAGACGGGGTTTCACTGTGTTAGCCAGGATGGTCTCAATCTCCTGACCTTGTGATTTGCCCTCCTCAGCCTCCCTAAGTGCTGGGATTACAGGTGTGAGCCACTGCGCCCGGCCAACAGTTCTTTTTATATAACCTTGCAAGTCAAGAATTCTATTCACTGTCTCAACCAACTTAGCCCTAGGGTGCTCTTCAAGACACTGATATTCGTGTCACTAGTGCTGGGACATGGGCCAAGGCTGAGGCACACAGATGATTCGTTGTGGTCAAATGGGTCAGGCTCAGGGTTAACACTTGCCAGGTCAGAAAGAGAGCATAGGGCTGTGATCTCAACCACGAAGAGTCTCAAATTCTAAAGTCAGGGGACACAGTAGAGTTAGATTACGGTTATGGCTGGAGCCACGATGGCCAGCCTGTGGGAGGGTAGGACTCAGGTGGACTGGACTGAATGAGAAAGGTACCATCTCAAGCATAGAATGGGCATCACTGGCTATCTGATGGAGGCTGTGTCAAAATCATATTCACCCAACAATCAGGGCCAGGCCACACAAGGTCAGGGCAGGGTAAGTGTGAATTAAGGGCTAGAGGCAGGTCAGGCTTCCGTAAGACTCAGCTATCCTAGACCCCACCCCACCAGGGTCCCTCCCTCATTCATGTGACTCAGCCCCTCCATGTGCACCTACAGCCTGATGTCAGAGACACAATCATCCCAAGGTCCCCAACAGTGGATGAGATGGCCTTGGGCGCTGTCAGGCCCCTTCTTGGTGCCTCCAGCACATCAGCGATGTGGCGGGTGCCTTCACCAGAGTTGCTGGGTGGTTACGCCAGTCCCGAGACAGAGCCTGCAAGGGCAGGGAACTCTAGGGCCATAGTGGGGCACAGAAGGGGCTCCTCTTGGAGCCTAATCATAGCCACCCCTGCCCCAAATCACAACCTACAAGTTAGAAAGAAACTTAAGGGTCCTGATTCCCACTACCCTGTCTGGCCCCATTTCATGGATGTGAAAGCTGAGACTCCAACAGCAAAGAGGACCGCATTGCCCTCCACCTTCTCAATGGCCCTGCTGGGTAGGAAGCCAGACTCCCCTCTGGATGTCCCCTGGTACTGTCCCAAAACTAATCTCTCTCATTACTGCCTTGTAAGACATTATAGGAAACTGACAGTAAGAAAATTTAAAAACATGAGGATAATACAGCTAAAGTTGACCCACCCACAATCAAGTAACCTCTTTTACACAGTTGTTTGCAGCAAATTGTAGACATCATGCCCATTAGTCTAAACATTCCATTTGTGTCTCTAAACATATGGACCCCCAAAAAGCTACATTCTCACAAACCTAAATAGAAATTGTCAATAATTCTTTCATATCAAAAAAAGGATGTTTCCCATCAAATACTTCACAAATGTCCTATGTTTCTTTCACTAGACCTGGGTTTGTGTTGTTATTTTGTGGTTTTGCATTTCATTTCTATGAGGATTCCATACAGTTGGAAATTGTGACTGGTGGCTGTGTTTTTAGACCTGTTCTGTCTGCAGGTATCTTCCTAGTTGATTTTTAATTTCCTTGCAAGGCAGGAGCTACAGGAGCTGAGGGCTGGTCCCAGGACCTTCCCACGGTCAGGATGCAGCCTGCTACCTCCCCAAGCTGGAACCAAGCGCTCCTCTCTGCTTCTGTGCTTCCTGAAAACGGGTTCTTGGACAGAAAGTTTTAACAAGGCTCAGTGTGACTTTTCAGCAAGACCGCTTGGCTAGTGGGCTCCCATATGGGGTCATCTATTTGTGACGTTAGCTGGGCTTTGCACTTAGTATCCAGTGCCATTAGATGGTATACAGATGCAAAGTGACTGCACTTCAGTTCAACCACCTTTTCCTTCTACTGAGCATCTGTAAAGGGTGTGCCCTCATATGTTCTGTGCTCCTCTGGGAGTACGATTCTTATTTCAGTAAGAAATAGAATAGACATGTTGCGTCTTTCCTTTCATTTAGCATCTTAATAATGATGACCGTGTTGCCTGCCATCCTGTGAAGATGAACAATTATTTCATGGTGAGCTCAGTTATGTTACTGTGTATGACTCACTTGAGTCCACCACAGTTCTGTTTTATTGATGATGACAATGACCCACCATGGCCCACTGGATGCCTCTTCTGGTGGCCCCAGGATCCTCCTGAAAGAACCCAGTAGATCTCGACAGCTTTCTGCTCTCTGTGCACAATCTGTCCTGGGCACATCTTTCTCCTGCCTTTGTGTCTGGAATTGCCCATTAATCTCAAGTGAACTGGTCCCCATAAGTGGGAGGTGGGATTTAGTGACCACACTTGGGGTGCTACTCACACAGCCCTTTTGAGGCAGAAACTCCAGACATACCCAAAAATGAGACGAGACCCTGAAAGGGTAACAGGGGCTTGCTTGCGACTTCTCCCTGGAGGTTGAGGCTGGCATTTCATACTAGAACCTAGCGAGCCCATCCCAAACTAACACCAGAAGGATAGAAGTGAGACCCCCTGGAGATGTGGTTGTGGTCACACTGGAGCTTCCCATGACTGCTGGCTGTGAGGCAAGCTGCCCCTCCTCTAAGGCACTCACTGGGGACACTTGAGGACGCCTCCAGCTCTTACCCTGCAGTCACACCAAGAGATCAGGGTTACAACCCTATAAGTATAGACAATCCCTGTCCCCTTCCGTGTCACTTCACTCCTTCGTGAAGCAAATGCCCTCCAAAGAGCTCATTCCCATTCCTGGGTCACAGTCACATGGAAAACCTGATCCAGACACCAACTTCCTCAGGTATCTCCATTTCCAGACATCCCGTTATTGCATACATGGGGTTGACCATCCCATCTCAGCTCCAGAAGGGGAGGCAGGTGTGTGGACTCTGCTGAGCAAATGCCCGCCAGGGGCAGTGGTCTGGCTTCCTGCATCATAGCTTCAGGTGGGGGATGGGGAGGAGGAGTTGGGGGCCCCAGGGAAGAGTTTTTGTATGAACCTGTGTCACGGCATTTGGTATTCTGTGGAGGGACCCAGCTGACCATTTTAGATGAATGTCTTCTTCCG